ATCATATGTCATTTGTAGTATATAGTAGGGCTTAAATGATAACTTTTGTATTAATGTCCCTGTACAGGTGAACGATAGTCCACTGAGTATCGCCGGTTTTAAAAAAGTATGGAAGCCTTTAGTCGCCATATGCGTTACGTTGTTTGTCAAAATTATAGCGTAAGTATGGACCGCCGCACAACTTTGCTTGAGAATTAAAGCAAATATTGTGTATTTATTCCCATATCGAATGAATAATTAGGTATCTAACTTATGTAGTGTACTTTGTATGGACGATATGTTGTCATTTTTGTGATGGTTATCGGAGTGAATGTTTGTGTGTATTGTTTGTTGTTTAAGCTTTCCATGCCGGAGTGAGAGTCTACAAATACGCCTATCTGGACCTGAGGAACCACAGCTTCGGCAACGGGGCCGGTCATAGACCCAGGTCAGCCACAGGAAGATTGTTGGTCGGTACAGTCGCGTCAAGGCACCGATGGCATTTTCATCGCCGTAGAGAATCTCCGTCGTAGGGAGACATGTCCTCAACTGTCGGGGATAGTTTGGAGCACACTATCTAGGTGGTAGAGCATACACTACGTCTCTGATGTTGTATGTGGTGGGGAAGGCTTGGAAGTCCCCCTGACAGACACCCGTGTGAAACTCTTCTTCACGGGAGCCTCAGCTGGGCTGCGGTTCAGCTGCTACCTTGTTTCTTGTTGTGTATAGGACTTGGACGTATTCTGTGACCGTGTTGTGCCGTGCTGTGTTGGACGCCTTTTTGGAACTTTGTGTGCTTGTTAGAGGAAGTGAGAGTGAGTGTGGATGTGCTTTAGTGTGATTATATACTTGTATGTAATAAATTGTGATTGTTTTCTATACAATATTTTGAGTTCTTGCTTTCTTGCCGAAACATCTTAATCTGACTCTTGTCCTACGTTACAATCATATGCAGACTGCCCATGGACGTAGATATAGAGATCAAAGTCCACGAACGGACTAAGAAATCGAAGTTATAGTTTGGGTTAATTTGTCATGTGAAATATAGAGCAATGTTTTAAGATGTGTAACGAGTGGAGTCCCCAGTGATACATAGGGCCCAGAAGTTTACTCGAGTTTTAATTAATGCAAGCTCATCATTAAGCGTGTTGGTATTTGCCTTTGTGCAGTTGGCATTTATAAGCCCATGAACTGAAAAGCAGTTCAAGGTCTAACATATGCAGATATTGAGAGCATACCACGTCGCACACGCGAATTTATTGCTTCAGGTGAACGATTTTTTTAATTCTTTGAGAATTAAAGCAAATATTGTGTATTTATTCCCATATCGAATGAATAATTAGGTATCTAACTTATGTAGTGTACTTTGTATGGACGATATGTTGTCATTTTTGTGATGGTTATCGGAGTGAATGTTTGTGTGTATTGTTTGTTGTTTAAGCTTTCCATGCCGGAGTGAGAGTCTACAAATACGCCTATCTGGACCTGAGGAACCACAGCTTCGGCAACGGGGCCGGTCATAGACCCAGGTCAGCCACAGGAATATTGTTGGTCGGTACAGTCGGGTCAAGGCACCGATGGCATTTTCATCGCCGTAGAGAATCTCCGTCGTAGGGAGACATGTCCTCAACTGTCGGGGATAGTTTGGAGCACACTATCTAGGTGGTAGAGCATACACTACGTCTCTGATGTTGTATGTGGTGGGGAAGGCTTGGAAGTCCCCCTGACAGACACCCGTGTGAAACTCTTCTTCACGGGAGCCTCAGCTGGGCTGCGGTTCAGCTGCTACCTTGTTTCTTGTTGTGTAAAGGACTTGGACGTATTCTGTGACCGTGTTGTGCCGTGCTGTGTTGGACGCCTTTTTGGAACTTTGTGTGCTTGTTAGAGGAAGTGAGAGTGAGTGTGGATGTGCTTTAGTGTGATTATATACTTGTATGTAATAAATTGTGATTGTTTTCTATACAATATTTTGAGTTCTTGCTTTCTTGCCGAAACATCTTAATCTGACTCTTGTCCTACGTTACAATCATATGCAGACTGCCCATGGACGTAGATATAGAGATCAAAGTCCACGAACGGACTAAGAAATCGAAGTTATAGTTTGGGTTAATTTGTCATGTGAAATATAGAGCAATGTTTTAAGATGTGTAACGAGTGGAGTCCCCAGTGATACATAGGGCCCAGAAGTTTACTCGAGTTTTAATTAATGCAAGCTCATCATTAAGCGTGTTGGTATTTGCCTTTGTGCAGTTGGCATTTATAAGCCCATGAACTGAAAAGCAGTTCAAGGTCTAACATATGCAGATATTGAGAGCATACCACGTCGCACACGCGAATTTATTGCTTCAGGTGAACGATTTTTTTAATTCTTTGAGAATTAAAGCAAATATTGTGTATTTATTCCCATATCGAATGAATAATTAGGTATCTAACTTATGTAGTGTACTTTGTATGGACGATATGTTGTCATTTTTGTGATGGTTATCGGAGTGAATGTTTGTGTGTATTGTTTGTTGTTTAAGCTTTCCATGCCGGAGTGAGAGTCTACAAATACGCCTATCTGGACCTGAGGAACCACAGCTTCGGCAACGGGGCCGGTCATAGACCCAGGTCAGCCACAGGAATATTGTTGGTCGGTACAGTCGGGTCAAGGCACCGATGGCATTTTCATCGCCGTAGAGAATCTCCGTCGTAGGGAGACATGTCCTCAACTGTCGGGGATAGTTTGGAGCACACTATCTAGGTGGTAGAGCATACACTACGTCTCTGATGTTGTATGTGGTGGGGAAGGCTTGGAAGTCCCCCTGACAGACACCCGTGTGAAACTCTTCTTCACGGGAGCCTCAGCTGGGCTGCGGTTCAGCTGCTACCTTGTTTCTTGTTGTGTAAAGGACTTGGACGTATTCTGTGACCGTGTTGTGCCGTGCTGTGTTGGACGCCTTTTTGGAACTTTGTGTGCTTGTTAGAGGAAGTGAGAGTGAGTGTGGATGTGCTTTAGTGTGATTATATACTTGTATGTAATAAATTGTGATTGTTTTCTATACAATATTTTGAGTTCTTGCTTTCTTGCCGAAACATCTTAATCTGACTCTTGTCCTACGTTACAATCATATGCAGACTGCCCATGGACGTAGATATAGAGATCAAAGTCCACGAACGGACTAAGAAATCGAAGTTATAGTTTGGGTTAATTTGTCATGTGAAATATAGAGCAATGTTTTAAGATGTGTAACGAGTGGAGTCCCCAGTGATACATAGGGCCCAGAAGTTTACTCGAGTTTTAATTAATGCAAGCTCATCATTAAGCGTGTTGGTATTTGCCTTTGTGCAGTTGGCATTTATAAGCCCATGAACTGAAAAGCAGTTCAAGGTCTAACATATGCAGATATTGAGAGCATACCACGTCGCACACGCGAATTTATTGCTTCAGGTGAACGATTTTTTTAATTCTTTGAGAATTAAAGCAAATATTGTGTATTTATTCCCATATCGAATGAATAATTAGGTATCTAACTTATGTAGTGTACTTTGTATGGACGATATGTTGTCATTTTTGTGATGGTTATCGGAGTGAATGTTTGTGTGTATTGTTTGTTGTTTAAGCTTTCCATGCCGGAGTGAGAGTCTACAAATACGCCTATCTGGACCTGAGGAACCACAGCTTCGGCAACGGGGCCGGTCATAGACCCAGGTCAGCCACAGGAATATTGTTGGTCGGTACAGTCGGGTCAAGGCACCGATGGCATTTTCATCGCCGTAGAGAATCTCCGTCGTAGGGAGACATGTCCTCAACTGTCGGGGATAGTTTGGAGCACACTATCTAGGTGGTAGAGCATACACTACGTCTCTGATGTTGTATGTGGTGGGGAAGGCTTGGAAGTCCCCCTGACAGACACCCGTGTGAAACTCTTCTTCACGGGAGCCTCAGCTGGGCTGCGGTTCAGCTGCTACCTTGTTTCTTGTTGTGTAAAGGACTTGGACGTATTCTGTGACCGTGTTGTGCCGTGCTGTGTTGGACGCCTTTTTGGAACTTTGTGTGCTTGTTAGAGGAAGTGAGAGTGAGTGTGGATGTGCTTTAGTGTGATTATATACTTGTATGTAATAAATTGTGATTGTTTTCTATACAATATTTTGAGTTCTTGCTTTCTTGCCGAAACATCTTAATCTGACTCTTGTCCTACGTTACAATCATATGCAGACTGCCCATGGACGTAGATATAGAGATCAAAGTCCACGAACGGACTAAGAAATCGAAGTTATAGTTTGGGTTAATTTGTCATGTGAAATATAGAGCAATGTTTTAAGATGTGTAACGAGTGGAGTCCCCAGTGATACATAGGGCCCAGAAGTTTACTCGAGTTTTAATTAATGCAAGCTCATCATTAAGCGTGTTGGTATTTGCCTTTGTGCAGTTGGCATTTATAAGCCCATGAACTGAAAAGCAGTTCAAGGTCTAACATATGCAGATATTGAGAGCATACCACGTCGCACACGCGAATTTATTGCTTCAGGTGAACGATTTTTTTTACTATACATTATATCGTAGTATTTCAGAAAAATATCAATATATTGTTTTTTATACAAAAAATTCTAAATGTATTCCTCTTATCAGTAAATTTAACATTTCTTCGTTACAAAATATATGCTGTTTATATTTTTTTAGATAAAAATCAGTTGTGTCATTTTTTAGTTGAAACTGACACATGAATCTCCTTCATAGTATAACCATATCTTTAACAAAACAATATTTTTTGACAAATTCAATGTGAATTAAAGCAGTATCATATATCAATCTCCAAACGTATGTCATTATACAATGTAACTGGTGAGCCAATATTCATTATGTACACTGTATACTAATAAATGAGACGTTATTCCATTAATTTTCTCTGTGTCAGTTCATGAAGTTATGTTACATTATGATTTTATGTTAGCATTGATTTATGTAGCATAAAATAGAAAGAAAAATAGAGTCGTGTAAGAGTAACCGCCCTTCTTCAGAACTCTCCAGTGTGTCCTTCATTTACTCACAGGACAGCGGTGTACCCTCTTCAGAATGGCATATTTGCTCAGGCAGACCTCCAAGAAGGTAACCATACGAAGGCAAAATTACAGTTCAATAAATTTCTTTCTTGTAATTTTAACTGCATTATAGTTGTTTCAAGGAAAAGTCACCGCAACCTCTTTTGAACTCCGGATGAAGTTATTTTGAATGTCTGTTGCAGTTGACCTCAGATTTGGTACTGCGTTTACCTTTTGTTAGGATCGTAATTGAAATAATTTGGATCGAAACTAGGTCAGAACGAAATCGAATTCAATTCAGCTTAAAAATTATACACAAGTATATTGTCGAACTTTCTGGTATTAATTTTCATAGACTATGTCATTCAGAAATAACCACGAAATAATGAAGAACAATTACAACATATGAAAGATAAGATTTCTAAAAATATCTTGACAAGGACCATCTTTGTGATTTCTAAACATGAGACTTATCTCTCATGTGAAATAGCTAATGGAACTTATGTATATAGGTGAAAATATTTTTGGGGAAACAGTAAAATAAAGAAAATTTGGAAAAAAATAGGGAAACATGTTTGCTATGTTGTGATTACCGTACACGTCTGCAATTTCTTCTGTGCATGCGTTGTAAAGAGAAACGACTGACATCGAAATTGTCTTTTTCAGGCCTTTGGCCGTTTTGGACAAGCACGATTTCTTCATACCTCACAAGCAGTATCTCAGGTATGGTCCTTCTCAACACTTCTAATAATACACACAGTAATAACTGTAATACAAAATTTCACGTTTCTCCTGTCATTAATGAGTTTTATATTTTATTGTTTATCCTTTTTAGCTTTCCTGTGCAATATGGACAGTTGATTGCTTTAAAAAAAACATTAAAGAATTTTTCAAAAAACTATCTTTGACATTCGTTTGTTACATAATCAGCAGCAATTGTGAGGAAGAAATCTGTGACAGAAACTAACGATTTCTGTGCAATATCTAGATTTTTGTCATTTGATTGTATGTCTTGCAGCTAAGCATTCATTATCATTATCTCAATAACTATGTTGAAACTATATTTTAAATCATATCTTTTGTATACATAAATCACATGCTTTTCATGACTGTAGGTTGCAATGAGCAAGTTTGAACAAGACAAATTCATTGATTATGATAAAATGGAGTTCAACATGAATACAGTGAAAACAAGGTCAGTATTTTGAAGAGGAAGATTATCATTCACTCAGCTATGTAAAAAACCATGTGCTTTTAAGTTACCTTTCAACAGAGTTGAACATACCATATAAATGAACAATATATTTTTCATTCATGTTTTGTTTTTATATCAGACTTGGCCGTCCTCTCACCCTTTCAGAAAAAGTTCTCTACAGTCATTTGGATGATCCAAAAAATGAGGTAAATTGTGTTAGGGCACTAATATTTATAACATGTTTTATATTTTTTTAACACTCTTAATGACTCATTTTCACTTTCTTGTTCTTAACTGGATATGTTGACTGAATATTCCAAGAGTAAAATTATTAATAAGGATCACATGATGAGAAAAAGAAATCACAAACTGTTTGATAAAGGTCTGAGACACACAATATTACTTAAAATTACCAACTTATACTTAGAAGGCAGATGTTATTCATGAAGCAGAAGATGCTAACACTTCCAGAACATCTGATCTTATTCTTCAACTTTGGCAACTGAGAGTCACATTTTAAATCTTTCTTTTGATTATTTTTTGCACTCATTTTTCAAAGTTAGTTACATATGGGTATTTTTAGGATTTTGTTTTAGCTCTTTTGTTTCATCTTTAGGTGATCGAGAGAGGTGAAAGCTATCTGAAGCTGCGTCCAGACCGAGTTGCTATGCAGGACGCCACAGCACAGGTAAAGACTGAGTCCAGTCAGTGTGTACATTTTACCCAAACTAAATGTAGTTACATAGTATTGAGCATAGTTTCTGTACTTATGTATCATAAATGTAATTCAATGACCTCACAAATAGGCCTGAAAACAAAAGGCAAAGTTTGGAAGAGCAGTTGCTATTGCGAATATAACAGAAATGACAGAGTAGGGATTTGTAGGTGTAGATAATCATAAAATCCCTTTTCATTCACAGATGGCCATGTTACAGTTTATATCTAGTGGTTTGCCCAAGGTTGCTGTGCCCTCGACCATTCACTGTGACCATCTGATCGAGGCTCAACAGGGAGGTGACAAAGACTTATCTCGAGCAAAGGTATTGAAGTCGTCCTGATAAATGCCTTATGTACAGAAACTGTAGTCATATTAAAGTTGTATGGAAAATTTGCTGAAATAGGAATTTTTTAGGTCATCTGACCTGAACTTTTCATTCAAAAAACTTCTTCTCAAATACTAGAAGGCCTAGGGGGCTAATACATGGCCCATAGCATGCTGGCATGGATCCCTACAAAGTTTGTACAAATTAATGACCTTGACCTACTTTCAAGGTCACAGGGGTCAAATATGTTAAAATATATAAACGACTTCTTCTCAATAAGCAAAAGTCCATGAGTGCTGATATTGGGTTTGTAGCATGCTGGGATGAAGGGCTCTCAAGTTTGTTCAAATGAATGACCTTGACCAACTTTCAAGGTCACAGGGGTCAAATATGTTAAAATATACAAACGACTTCTTCTCAATAAGCAAAAGTCCATGAGTGTTGATATTGGGCCTGTAAGATGCTGGAAGGAAGGGCTACCAAGTTTATTCAAATGAATAAAGCCCACTGTTTTAACAGCAGACTCACTGTTGTTAGAGTTTGCCTTGCTTTTTGTCAGATGAATGTTAAGGTCCATGGGCCTCTTGTTTCAAGGTATCATCCACACTCATAACACTAAAATATTTTTGTTTTAGGAACGTAAAGTGTCACATACTTTATTAACACTCTTTCTATTACCACACAGCCCAAATCAAATTTTAATCTGTAAAATGTCGACTGAATTTTGTGTTCTTTGTATTATATACAGTGTTCTATTACAATAAATTGTAACATACAGAAATGTTTGTATTGTCACCATGGCATAACTTAGAAATTTTATGTGATACAATTACTTATATGTGATATTTAATTTTGTTCTTCTTTGCTTCAGGATATCAATAAGGAAGTCTACAACTTCCTTTCTTCTGCTGGGGCCAAGTATGGTGTGGGCTTTTGGAAACCTGGAAGTGGAATCATCCATCAGGTAAAATATTGAAGCGTGAAGGGTCAGTACTGGCCATAGTCAGGGATGAAATACTAGAGGTCAGTACTGGTCATAGTCAGGGATGAAATACTAGAGGTCAGTACTGGTCATAGTCAGGGATGAAATACTAGAGGTCAGTACTGGTCATAGTCAGGGATGAAATACTAGAGGTCAGTACTGGTCATAGTCAGGGATGAAATACTAGAGGTCATGCTCGTCGTACAAGATTATACAAGGCGGCCTCCAAAATTTCACTGTTGTCTCTTGTTTATCAAAAATCAATAAGTTTCACTAAAATAGCAGTATGGATTGGTCTCAGTGCCTTTACCTTCTTGTGGTTCAATTATAGCCACATAATCCACATATATTAAGACATGATACACTGTCATTAGGAATCATCATGTAAGTTATGATAATGTTGGTACTGACCAGTGGAAGGGCTGTCTCTTTTGCAGTTCCCTGCCCCAGACAGATGTCTATCGCTGGTCATACCTAAAGAATTCTGCAGTTTCAAGATGTGGGCTGGCTGAAGTTGCCATATATATGTATTATGCTATACACAGATGCTAAATATTGTTTGTAATTTTCCTTTTGTTGTTTGCTTTTACAAGCAACTGCAATGGCTAGGAATCTACATTCAAACTGGATCACTGACCTACATATTTTTTGTGGTTTCAATTATGCCTATATGTGTTGTATCTTTAGAAGCACTGATTGTATCATGGTCTTGGATGAAGGTAGAGATGTCTAGACAACATCCGTCGGAAGATATCAGCAGAATTTTTAAGTGACTTGATTCGGCATGCTAGGTATGCGATCATCCGAACAATTCAAAATCATACAATTTTTATAGTAGTGTTGATGCTTCTGCCTAGCTAATACACATGAAAGACCATAGCAGTGTTTGTGATATCATAGTTTACATAATCAAAGATTGGGGAATGAAGGTGAATACACTCATTCTGCAAATAATAATTCCTGAAGTTATATAAACATACTGGAAGTGAGAGATTAGGATACAATTAAATAAATATACATTTTTGAACATAAAGTTTATATATACACATTAGTATGTAGTCTTGGCAAACATACATAATCTTCAGCTTAAGTGGTTATGTTCAAAACAACTTGGATATTAGGCGGTGAATGTTTTATCAGCCAATTTTCATATTTTTATTTTACTTTGAACCTTCAATTATATTTTCGTAATGGTTTGATAAGATTTTTTAAGAAAATTTTACAAGACTGATTATATCCATCAAACATATTTAAACCAACAGTAATGATGTGTACATAATATGTGATGTGTGGCGAGCCACTTTTGTCTTTCTGTCCTGAGCCAAAATGCAGCATATATTTTAGGAGACTGACCATGTATTCTATTTATCCTGTAACATTGACTGCAAATCAGCAAAACTTCAACTTTTTTTTTTTTCATTTTTTGTTTACCAGACATTGACATGCTGAATTTTGCCTGATGGTGTACGTTAAAATAATTGTTCTGGGCAGAAATACTGTTCCAAACTTCAATGGATATAACAGGGATTTTAGGAATTTTTGTAAATAAACTTGTTCATTTCAACATATAAAGTCACTTATTTCAACTGTTATTGTGTCATTAAACAGAACTTTAATGTAAATTCATCAGCTCATTCCATCAAGTTCATGCATGTGCTAAAATACAACTCTATTTTCTGTCTGCCAAATACAGCAAAGCTAAATGTGGAGGCATATTCCAACAATGGCTTTGCCAGTAGCAGGATAAATTTTTATATTTATGAAGGGTAGTTGTGTCATTTTGAAAACCATTGATTAGGTAGTGAAAAGTTCAATTCATTAAATCTTATGTTTGATATATAGTTTTGAATTAAAAAGAACCAACAATGGAATGTATCTATTGATGCCTAGAGATGTTTGCACTGACCAGTGTAAGTTATGATGATGTTGGCACTGACCAGTGTAAGTTATGATGATGTTGGTACTGACCAGTGTTAGTTACGATGATGTTGGTACTGACCAGTGTAAGTTACGATGATGTTGGTACTGACCAGTGTAAGTTTCGATGATGTTGGTACTGACCAGTGTAAGTAATGATGATGTTGGAACTGACCAGTGTAAGTTATGATGATGTTGGTACTGACCAGTGTAAGTTACGATGATGTTGGTACTGACCAGTGGAAGGGCTGTATGTTTTGCAGCTCCCTGCCCCAGACAGATGTCCACTACTGGTTAGACCTAAAGAATTCTGCAGTTTCAAGGTGTGGGCTGGTTTTTCCATGTATATGTTACAGGATAATCCAATTTTTTGTCTCTGTTACTATGGTCCATGTGGTATTGTTCAGCCTGATATATTTGTTTGTGTTTCAATAGATATGACATGATTGTTTGCAAATCTTATTATTTCACTCAGATTGTGCTGGAAAACTATGCCTTTCCTGGTCTGCTGTTAATTGGGACTGATAGTCACACACCAAATGGAGGTGGGTCATTTTTATGAAATTGTTGGTATATTCCAGTGATTGGTTTGTCCATGCATGTGTCTGTCCATCCATCTGTCTGGTTGTAACTGAAAATAGTTAATCATGTTCATGATATGTTACATTTACACATTAGATATATCTTTTTCTGTGTAAAGTTTTCAGATTATCAGTCCACTAACTGATATGTTCAGGATATATCTCTGTTATGTCCTAAATTTTACTGGTGATTTGTTCTATATCTGTTTATGACATGATTATATACGTACTGATATGTTCGCAAATCTTATTAAACTGGTGATTTCATATTCTCTGTAAAAGAATCTCTAAATTTACTAGTGATATGTTCAGGATATATCTCTGTGACCCTAACTGGTGATATATTCAGGACATATCTCTGTGGTCCTACACTTACTGGTGATATGTTCAGGATATATCTCTGTGGTCCTACACTTACTGGTGATATGTTCAGGATATATCTCTGTGGTCCTACACTTACTGGTGATATGTTCAGGATATATCTCTGTGGTCCTATACTTACTGGTGATATGTTCAGGATATATCTCTGTGACCCTAACTGATGACATGTTCAGGATATATCTATGTGGTTCTACAGTTACTGGTGATATGTTCAGGATATATCTCTGTGAGCCTATACTTACTGGTAATATGTTCGGTATATATCTCTCTGGTCCTACTCTTTCTGGTGATATGTTCAGGATATATCTCTGTGGTCCTATACTTACTGGTGATATGTTCAGGATATATCTCTGTGGTCCTACACTTACTGGTGATATGTTCAGGATATATCTCTGTGGTCCTACACTTACTGGTGATATGTTCAGGATATATCTCTGTGGTTCTACACTAACTGGTGATATGTTCAGGATATATCTCTGTGAGCCTACACTTACTGGTGATATGTTCAGGATATATCTATGTGAGCCTACACTTACTGGTGATATGTTCAGGATATATCTCTGTGGTCCTACACTTACTGGTGATATGTTCAGGATATATCTCTGTGGTCCTACACTTACTGGTGATATGTTCAGGATATATCTTTGTGAGCCTACACTTACTAGATATGTTCAGGATATATCTCTGTGGTTCTACACTAACTGGTGATATGTTCAGGATATATCTCTGTGGTCCTACACTTACTGGTGATATGTTCAGGATATATCTCTGTGGTTCTACACTAACTGGTGATATATTCAGGATATATCTCTGTGGTTCTACACTAACTGGTGATATGTTCAGGATATATCTCTGTGACCCTAACTGGTGATATATTCAGGATATATCTCTGTGGTCCTACACTTACTGATGATATGTTCAGGATATATCTCTGTGGTCCTACACTTACTGGTGATATGTTCAGGATATATCTCTGTGGTCCTACACTTACTGGTGATATGTTCAGGATATATCTCTGTGGTCCTACACTTACTGGTGATATGTTCAGGATATATCTCTGTGGTCCTACACTTACTGGTGATATGTTCAGGATATATCTCTGTGGTCCTACACTTACTGGTGATATGTTCAGGATATATCTCTGTGGTCCTACACTAACTGGTGATATGTTCAGGATATATCTCTGTGGTCCTACACTTACTGGTGATATGTTCAGGATATATCTCTGTGGTTCTACACTAACTGGTGATATGTTCAGGATATATCTCTGTGGTCCTACACTAACTGGTGATATGTTCAGGATATATCTCTGTGGTCCTACACTTACTGGTGATATGTTCAGGATATATCTCTGTGGTCCTACACTTACTGGTGATATGTTCAGGATATATCTCTCTGAGCCTATACTTACTGGTGATATGTTCAGTATTTATCTCTGGTCCTACACTTACTGGTGATATGTTCAGGATATAAAATCTGTGGTCCTACACTTACTGGTGATATGTTCAGGATATATCTCTGTGGTCCTACTATATCTCTGTGGTCCTACTGGTGATATGTTCAGGATATATCTCTGTGGTATGTTCTATATATCTCTGTGGTCCTACTTACTGGTGATATGTTCAGGATATATCTCTGTGGTCCTACACTTACTGGTGATATGTTCAGGATATATCTCTGTGGTCCTACACTTACTGGTGATATGTTCAGGATATATCTCTGTGGTCCTACACTTACTGGTGATATGTTCAGGATATATCTCTGTGGTCCTACACTTACTGGTGATATGTTCAGGATATATCTCTGTGGTTCTACACTAACTGGTGATATGTTCAGGATATATCTTTGTTGTTCTACACTTACTGGTGATATATTAAGGATATATCTCTGTTTGTTCTAAATTTACTAGTGATATGTTCAGGATATATCTCTGTGGTCCTATACCTTCTGGTGGTATGTTCAGGATATATCTCTGTGGTCCTATACTTACTAGTGATATGTTCAGGATATATCTCTGTGACAGGATATATCTATCTGTGGTATATCCTATATGTTCAGGATATATCTCTGTGAGCCTAACTGGTGATATGTTCAGGATATATCTCTGTGGTCCTACACTTACTGGTGATATGTTCAGGATATATCTCTGTGGTCCTACACTTACTGGTGATATGTTCAGGATATATCTCTGTGGTCCTACACTTACTGGTGATATGTTCAGGATATATCTCTGTGGTCCTACACTAACTGGTGATATGTTCAGGATATAACTCTGTGAGCCTACACGTACTGGTGATATATTCAGGATATATCTCTGTGGTCCTACACTTACTGGTGATATGTTCAGGATATATCTCTGTGGTCCTACACTAACTGGTGATATGTTCAGGATATATCTCTGTGACCCTAACTGGTGATATATTCAGGATATATCTCTGTGAGCTACACTTACTGATGATATGTTCAGGATATATCTCTGTGGTCCTGCACTTACTGGTGATATGTTCAGGATATATCTCTGTAAGCCTTACACTTACTGGTGATATGTTCAGGATATATCTCTGTGGTCCTACACTTACTGGTGATACATTCAGGATATATCTCTGTGACCCTAACTGGTGATATATTCAGGATATATCTCTGTGGTCCTATACTTACTGATGATATGTTCAGGATATATCTCTGTGGTCCTATACTTACTGATGATATGTTCAGGATATATCTCTGTGGTCCTACAGTTACTGGTGATATGTTCAGGATATATCTCTGTGAGCCTACACTTACTGGTGATATTTTCAGGATATATCTCTGTGGTCCTACACTTACTGGTGATATGTTCAGGATATATCTCTGTGGTCCTACAGTTACTGGTGATATGTTCAGGATATATCTCTGTGGTCCTACACTTACTGGTGATATGTTCAGGATATATCTCTGTGGGCTACACTACACTCAGGATATATCTCTGTGACATGTTCTGGGGATATATCTCTGTAAGCCTTACACTTACTGGTGATATGTTCAGGATATATCTCTGTAAGCCTACACTTACTTGTGAAATGTCAGGATATATCTCTGTAAGCCTACACTTACTGGTGATATGTTCAGGATATGTCTCTCTGGTCCTACAGTTACTGGTGATATGTTCAGGATATATCTCTGTGAGCCTAACTGGTGATATGTTCAGGATATATCTATGTGAGCCTACACTTACTGGTGATATGTTCAGGATATATCTCGTGATATATTCTCAGGATATATCTCTGTGGTCCTACACTTACTGGTGATATGTTCAGGATATATCTCTGTGGTCCTACACTTACTGGTGATATGTTCAGGATATATCTCTGTGGTCCTACACTTACTGGTGATATGTTCAGGATATATCTCTGTGGTCCTACACTAACTGGTGATATGTTCAGGATATATCTCTGTGGTTTTCTGTGGTCCTATACTTACTGGTGATATGTTCAGGATATATCTCTGTGGTCTTACACTTACTGGTGATATATTAAGGATATATCTCTGTGGTCCTATACTTACTGATGATATGTTCAGGATATATCTCTGTGACCCTAAGTGATGACATGTTCAGGATATATCTCTGTGGTCCTATACTTACTAGTGATATGTTCAGGATATATCTCTGTGAGCCTACACTTACTGGTGGTATGTTCAGGATATATCTCTGTGGTCCTATACTTACTTGTGATATATTCAGGATATATCTCTGTGGTCCTACACTTACTGGTGATATGTTCAGGATATATCTCTGTGATCCTACACTAACTGGTGATATATTCAGGATATATCTCTGTGGTCCTATACTTACTGATGATATGTTCAGGATATATCTCTGTGACCCTAAGTGATGACATGTTCAGGATATATCTCTGTGGTCCTACACTTACTGGTGATATGTTCAGGATATATCTCTGTGATTCTACACTAACTGGTGATATATTCAGGATATATCTCTGTGGTCCTACACTAACTGGTGATATGTTCAGGATATATCTCTGTGACCCTAACTGGTGATATATTCAGGACACATCTCTGTGGTCCTACACTTACTGGTGATATGTTCAGGATATATCTCTGTGGAACTAACAGGAGATATATTAAGGATATATCTAAGTGGTACTCCACTTAATGAGGATATGTTCAGGATATATATCTGTGGTCCTACACTTACTGGTGATATGTTCAGGATATATCTCTGTCCATTCAGGTGGCCTTGGTGGAGCATGCATTGGAGTTGGTGGAGCAGATGCGGTAGATGTCATGGCTGGGTTACCATGGGAACTTAAATGTCCAAAGGTAAATGACTTCTAACAAAAAAGAGTAAGTTTTATTGGTGTCCGAAGCAACCTCAATTGAAAAGCTTAGGTGTGTGCCATGTGATTTGATGCTCGCTATCAATGGTGGTTTGTTTATCTCAGAAAACCATGGAAACAAATGAATCTTGTATGATTTACCATAGATTGATTATCATTACAGGTGATAGGTGTGAAGCTGACTGGAAAATTAAATGGATGGACTTCACCCAAGGATGTCATTCTCAAGGTCGCTGGAGTCCTGACAGTCAAGGGAGGCACTGGAGCCATTGTAGAATACTTTGGGCCTGGTGTTGATTCTATTTCTTGTACAGGTTTGTACACAAAAATGACTTGGTTGGTTCTATGTAATTATACTCTTACCTTCTGCAGTATTCATATGTTTTAATATATGGTTGAACTCTTGAAGATTTGTAACAGTGTTGTACAACCAATTTGTCGTGTCCATTAGTACATATGTCATGTCTTATCAGATAAAATTTTAGGATATTTTTAAAGATCTGATTTGGGGGCAAACATCTCTGAAGACGCAAATTTCAGAGATAGGATTTAATTGTTGTAATTGTGGATGAGAAATAAAAAAAAATTGTCAATGGCAAACAAATATTTACATTCAGAAACTTCCTTTAGGAATGATTGTAAAAGTAATGTTCATATTGTATTGGAGTAGCAGTGTTATCTTGTTCTGTTATGTAGGCAAAAAATATGACTTACCATGTAAAATGTTCTGTTCCTAGTGGTTCCTTACAGACTTGAGCTGCTAAGGAGAACTACTATTCTATCATAAATTCTTTTCCATGATATCAATGAAAATTGTATTTCGTTCAGGCATGGGAACAATTTGTAACATGGGTGCAGAAATTGGAGCCACCACATCAATGTTCCCATACAATCATCGCATGCAGGATTACTTGAGAGCTACAAACAGGGGAGGTAAGCATCTGGAAAAAAAAGATGGTGTGAAATGAATTGAATGTTAAACTTGCAAAGAAGCTACAAACGTAATCATAGAATGTGACTGAATCCACTAGTGCATGAAGTTCTATGAATTGATTAAAATAGGTGGAGTTCTTGGTAAGCTTTAGCTAGGAAATCATATGATTTCATTTTTGAATAATTATGACCTTCATTAGGTAAACATTTCATAAAGGAAAGTGATGTTTAGCCAAATGCATGGTGTACTATAGATAGAATTTAAATGAAGTAGAACTCCTGGTTTTTACGTTGATCTTATGGAGAATCTGTCTTATTAAATGTATCAAAAGGAAATTATTTTATCCATTTATATTTGTGTACATAGATATTGCTGACCTGGCAAATAACTACAAAGGACTCCTCTCAGCAGACCCAAATGCTCAGTATGACCAAGTCATTGAAATCAACCTGGATACGGTAAATTCCTATCAGGATTCAAATTATTAAAAAGAAAAGGGGAAAAAAGTGTGGTTGTGGGAGGGGGATGAGGGGAGGGGTTATGGAAAGAAAATAAATATATCATCAAGACTGAAGAGATTTTTAAACTGTTCTTCTTTGTCAAACATTTGAAAACTATTAGGATGACCAGGAATTTTTTGCATTCAGACAAATATTTCTATGCCTTGTTCATTAGGAACTATGTCACAGCTGAATGTTTAGTCCAGTAGGTTTTATTTAAGATCTGTCATTGATATACAAAAGAAAAACACATATCCAAACTGATTTTGTGGCCCCACTTATTCCTGGAGGTTACTACATATTCTACTGCTACATATGCTTCATAGACTTTACTCACAGTTTAAGTTGTGAAACATTTTTGTGAATGAAAATACCTTTGATGTATAGACATGACACTCAGTAACAATATTCAGAATTTTAAAAAAGTACTACAGAAAGATGTTTGCTCCAAAAATGTTGAATGACAACGAAAGCTTTTTCTTAACACACATCAGAACAATATTTCCTAGTTAACCCTCCAGCCCTTATTTCAGAAACTCCCTCTCATCCACCATATCAGAGTTCTTTAGATGTGGACTGATTTTCACATATATACATGTACTTGTAAGATTTACATTTTGTCAGTGTCGAGCAATTTACTCTTGAGCTGTGTCTGTATATTCTGCCAACAGTATTACCATTGGAAACAAATTCTATTAAGTTGCTGATAATGTTTCAATTTAATGAAAGCAATAAAAAGGATAGTCATCTGGCTACATGCTATGAATTTGTATTGACACATGCTCTGAATTTATATGGCTACATGCTATGAATTTGTATTATATGGCTACATGCTATAAATTTGTATTATATGGCTACATGCTGTGAATTTGTATTATATGGCTACATGCTATGAATTTGTATTGATACATGCTATGAATTTATATTATATGGCTACATGCTATGAATTTGTATTATATGGCTACATGCTATGAATTTGTATTATATGGCTACATGCTATGAATTTGTATTGATACATGCTTTGAATTTATATGGCTATATGCTCTGAATTTGTATTTTATGGCTACATGCTATGAATTTATATGGCTACATGCTATTAATTTATATGGCTTTCTCTTAGTTTGAAGCTATAAACTACATCTTTTTTGTTTTTCATATATTTTTAGTTATGGTTCATTAAATTCCATTTTAATTATTTTGTTGGTATTTTTCATACATACTCTTTCCAGAACATCATAAAGACAATTTGGTCTATTTAGATTATTCATAGTTACAATATTACCACAGAACATGTGTCATCGAAACCTATGTAATATGTATTACAGTTGGAACCACATGTCAATGGTCCATTTACCCCTGATTTGGCCCACCCAATATCAAAGCTCGGAGAAATTGCCCAGCAGAATGACTGGCCCAATGATATTAAAGTTGGTGAGTGTCGACTCCTCATTTTTAAGTTATTCAAAAGCCAGATCACATGATATGAAAATAGATTTTGATGGTTTTAGTCAGGATTTTAGTATAGGTAGGACTTGAGGTCACTTTTTGTTTTAAATTTTGATTTAATAGAGGAAGAAATGAAACATTCAATGTAGATCTGTTGGTTTGTATGTTCTATTGTCTCTTTAGCTTTTATTTATCACATAAATCTATATGAGTATCTCTTGTATAATCAAATATTTTTATATTCATTTTAGTTTCCTAAATATGACAGTGAAACAAAGCCCATGATCTACTCCAATACAACATAATGTACAAGTCTACTATATACACACTCACGCACATGCACTTACACACACACACACACACACACACTGGGTTATGTTTCTGGATTGCATTTACAAAAAACATTTGCCATACAATGTATTTAGATAAAGGATTATTCTTCTCCCAGTCTCAAGCATTACCTTTACCTTCACTTTAATTTATATATACCTCTAAAGCCAGGTTACGATATCTAGCTGGCAAGACATGATCACTGATTTTGGAATGTTTTAAGAAAATATCTATCCATGATCGAATGTATTTTTCAAGTATGTCTGTTGGGATATGACCTGACAACAGGAGCATGATATAGCATTTGTAGGCATATTTGTTGAAACTTCAATAGATGTTGAAGGTTTTTTTTGTCAGACATGCACTAATTATGTTGATTTCATATTCTCAAACCAAGTTTTGTTTTTCATGTATTTGTATCCCTTGTTTTTATAGGTTTGATTGGCAGTTGTACTAACAGTAGTTATGAGGACATGAGTCGGGCAGCCAGCATTGCCAAACAAGCTTTAGACAAAGGTCTCAAGGCTAAGAGTGCCTTCACTATCACACCAGGGTCAGAACAGATCAGGGCAACCATTGAGCGAGATGGACAGGTAGGTGTTGTTGGAAGGGTAAACAAGTTAGTGTTGTAAGATGTAAAAGGTACTGGTGATAGTTCTATCATAATGAATCTCTTAAGAAACCTTTCCTGGCTATCTGCTGAGACCAATTACTTCTCACAGATATATCGTATCTAGATCTTATTAACAGAGAGGCAAAGTTGAATGTATGATATGTTGTCATGTCACCATCATTTTTTATGCCGGGTGTCACCCATGTCTGTCATTAGATCCCATCACGTCTTTTCCTGTTCTGATTCAGTGTCATATTTTCAGAACCTTTCAACAAATTATTTCATATTCACCGAACATCAGGTTCTACACTTTGTCATGTTCTGGTTTACATAGGAGCAATAGTGTTCATGTAATAAGCCCTGTAATAGTATATATATGTACTTAATGTATTACTTTCAGCTCCAATTCAAACTTAATGAGCATATTATCTTTGGTTGGATATTTTGAGATATTATCGTACTTTCTCTCTATAGGCTGGTATACTGAGTGAGATTGGAGGTGTTGTATTAGCCAATGCTTGTGGGCCTTGTATCGGACAATGGGACAGACAGGATGTGAAGAAGGGCGAGAAAAATACCATTGTAACATCTTACAACAGAAACTTCACAGGTCGTAATGATGCCAATCCCGCTACACATGCATTTGTTACCTCCCCAGAGTTAGTAACAGCATTGGCCATTGCTGGAGAACTCAGCTTTAACCCAGAAACAGACAGCCTAACAGCAGCTGATGGTAAGCATATGGGATTAATCTTCTATTGATAGCTTATTTATAATAGTTTTTAGTTACTCTTAATTGTCATAACCTCTATAATTCCTGCACCAGGGAATAGTTACAGGATTTGAAATAGAGGCTGAATATTCTGTAGAAATAATTCCACTAAACACACAAAGATATTTTTGAACTTGTACCAGTTATGTCAAACTGAATAACTACATTTCTGTTGATTAGTCACTGTGAGCTGTGACCAGTATTAATACTGAAAGCAGTAATACATCCTCTCAAAAAAAAAACCCCAAGAAATCAAACTGCTGTTTGGTCTACAAATTAACAAACCATGTATAGCCAGCTCGGTTTTTTTTTTTTTTTTTATATACATTTTTGTAAAATGTAACCAATGATAGGTAAAATCACTATTTAGTTAAGAACTTATGAAAAGAAAAGAAAAAAAAATGCCTCAACAGGTGTCAATTTGTATAACTGTTTATATATTTGTGGTTCAGTTGCCTCAAGTCATTATATTTAGTCAGTATATCAAAATTTTGAAAAGTAGCTTCTAAGTTTCCTGAGATTTGTTGTGAGTATGTTGCATTGTCTAAGAAGTTTTATTCCTGATAATGGACTATTTTTATAAAAGAAAAAAAACAAATGAGGACAAACTAGTCTTGTCAAGACAATACATGTGAGTTTGGGTGTTGTTTTCTAGGGTCAAAGTTCAAGTTGGAAAGCCCTTATGGTGATGAACTGCCTTCTAAAGGTTTTGATCCAGGCATGGATACATTCCAGCCTCCACCTGCTGATGGCTCAAGTCTCAAGGTGGATGTTGATCCAAATAGCAATCGCCTCCAGTTGTTGTCTCCCTTTGATAAGTGGAATGGTCAAGATTTCACTGATATGCCCATCCTTATTAAGGTAACTGAGACGTATATCAAGAGGTTTTTATAGGTCTGTCCAGGAAAAATCACACAGATTAAACTTCCCCTTATTGAGATTTCCATCATTTGTAAATTGACAGTGAACATACTCATTTTTGCAGTTATCTTTTCTATTGTTGTTTAATTTCATTAGGAATATATTGTGTTATAGTCTAGTTTGGATTACTTAATTTCATGTTTGTCTATCAATTCATATCAAACTATACAGACATAACAGGTGTTTTCTGAGATTTAAAAATTCCCAGGTATTTACTTTCAAATTCTCTTCAATATCTGCAAATATAGTGAAATTAAATCACCTTCAGATGTTACTAACTTTATAGTATTTTAGTGAAGCTCTCCATCCTGCAAGTATTTGGCATTGGTGTGTTTTCATTTATTGCCGGTTCTTTTAGTATGTCATTTATAAGTCAATTATTTTTTTATGTGTCAATTCAGCACTGCGCTTATTTGTGTAGTTGTGTAAATATCAAGTACATTAAAAGTATACAAACATTAAGTTTATCCTTAATGTACATCTGACAACAGCTTGCCATGCTTATTGATAAAAGCACAAAAGTGCTTGTGAATTTTTTTTCATGAAGTAGAGGTTATTCTTCTCTGTTTCTTTCTCTTAGGCATTATTGTGATCTGTTAAGTGATAGCACTTCTAACGGTGTGTATTAATGGTAATCCATGTGTTTTACTTTCCAAAATGATTTAGTGATGGTACTTTCTATGTAATCAATTTCAGGTGAAAGGAAAATGTACAACTGACCATATCAGTGCTGCCGGTCAGTGGCTTAAGTACAGAGGTCATTTGGACAATATCTCCAACAACTTGCTGATTGGGTAAGGCATCATGACAGATTCATATAATTGTAGTATGGAGGCCTTCACATTTACTGTTGAATTACAGATAGTATACAGAATAATGTATATTAGAGGGGGGCTATCATTACTATTGTTGATAACATGCATATCATCTTTTGATAATCCAACACAAAAGTCCATGAAAAGGTAAAAGATATAGTTCTTGGAAAGATTCATGTTAATTTCAAAATAACGATACAAAATCTCCTGCAGACTTTTGTATGTAAAACATGGATAGACCAGGATCATTTTACAGCTTATTGTATTTTAGTGTTTTCCACTCCTGGTAGGCATATTGGGTCTGTTCTGAAGATATTTGTTGTTTGAGATGAAAGATTTCTGAATTATTTATCACAGTGCTACAAATGTAGAGAATGGTGAAATTAACAGCGTGAAAAACTGGGTTACTGGAGAATATGGCAGTGTGCCTGACACCGCTAGATATTATAAGGTCAGTATGCATGGGCAAATTTAGGGAATGTCCTATTTTATGAATATATAAAGATATTTTGTAATAAGTCTTTCTACATAACGTAATGGGAAAATTTTTCAAAATATTCACATGTCAAAGAAAATTGGAAAACTGCTTATAATCTTCGAATGATTCTTTTTTTTCCACTTTGCACTTAACTTTTAAAATGAAAGGTACCTAAATTTTTGTCTCATAGTTCAATAAAAAGAAATACTTTAAATTTGTATTCTTCCTAAATCATTTGAAAATGACAGAATTTAAAATTTATAAGTTATGGAATGAAAAATTGTTGTGATTGGGAACATTTCAAGCAATTTAGAAATATAAAGTGCATTTGTTGTACTATAGTACCCATCTATGCATATACAAATTTTAAAAAGTCTACTATTGTTGTACTGTATTCAAATCACTCTTTCTCAGTGGTCTGTCCGTAAACAGTTTTTGTTATCGCTTTTTCTTGAGAAGTGCTGGATAGATCTTTCTCAAATTTCACATGTAGAGTCTCCATGGTCTCTTGTTATGCCCATGTAACTTTGGACTGATCAGGAGAACAAATTCGCCAAAAGGTGGCCATCTTGGATTTTGACGTTGAAAGTTTGTTATGGCTATTTCTTGCGATTTCTGCAAAGAAATGTTCAAATGTCTCTTCATGAAGAGCACAAACAGAGTAGAGAAGGGAAGGGATAACATCCAACTTTCAAAGTGCAAATAAAGATCAAACAATGGTGGGCGCAAAGATCCCTGTGGGATTTCTTGTTGAGTCATGGTCATCCTCTCTTAAGAGTATACAGTAATTTGTGGTGAATTTTTCTTTTTCACATTTCAGTCAAAAGGTCTCCCATGGGTGGTGGTAGGAGATGAGAACTATGGTGAAGGCAGTAGCAGAGAACATGCAGCTCTTGAACCGCGCCATCTTGGTGGTCGTGCAATTATTGTCAGGAGCTTTGCCCGTATACACGGTAATATATATTTTGTATATATATTTTGACTAGCCAACATTGTGTTCGATGTCTGACCTTTTCACTAGTTCCTGAAGGATGTATTGATGCTTTGTTTATATGTGGCCTTCATTCTAATGTAAATTATACTAATGTTTGAGAATACAAAATATTTTTCCTGATAGAATATTTACAAAAGTGAAAACAGTTTTGTGGCTTATAGTTCTTCTCGAAGGACTAGGTCTTGCGTACTCATCCTTGTATGTACCGAAAGAATTCAAAATCAATTCCTTTTTATGACAGAAACCAACCTGAAGAAGCAAGGTATGCTTCCTCTAACTTTCGCAGATCCAGCAGATTATGATAAAATTAAACCAGATGACAAAATTTCTCTTCTTGGACTCAAAGATCTGGCACCAGGACAGGTAGGTAGTCATGATGACTATTGTATAGAGGAGAATAATAATACTTTGGCTTGCCCATATTACCTTGGGAAACATCTCAAAGACTGTTATACCCTTTCTACTTAGTGAAGATTACATGGAGGTGCTCTCATAGGAGGAACATGATTCTGACTGGCAGAGTCTTGCTGTTTGCTGGTAACACAGCAGTCTAGTGACTTGATTGTATATTGTAGGTGCACAAGCATTGATAGCATATGCCAGTTGAAAAAAGGGCACTGATTTAGAGAGACCGACAAAACACCTTGAATATTACATGCTGACTGCTGTTGGCTTGTCACTAGCAACCAGCAAATTAGAAAGTCAGAAGAAAGTTTGCCATTTCTCTCGTTTATATGTCTTTCAAAGATATTTCAATTGTCTCCTTATTTAGAATATAAATCTGTCTTCTGCATATGGATGTATTTTAGTAAAATTCTCCTGCTTAAGGACAATAATATATAACGCTTTTTCCAGTTTCCAGTTTTCAGTTGATGATGAACCACAACTATATTAAGTTTATTTTCATTTCTTACAGCAAGTAAAATGCCAAATTCAACATTCTGATGGATCAGCGGAAACAATACAGCTGAATCAGTCAATGAATGAGGGACAAATCGCATGGTTCAAAGCAGGCAGTGCTCTCAACAGGATGGCAGATTTGAAATAAAATGTGGAGTAAACTTTATCCCCACCATTGTCATAAGTGCTGTTTTTATACCAAAATATTGACAACATAGTATTAACAATTGGTGTCTCTACGGCGATGCCCTGCGTTAACAGTAGTGCTGTGTACCAACATTGACGACATAATAGAAAAACGGAAATGTTGCCATATGTGAAAGATATTTATTGTCATTGAATAGCCATAAATGATGACAATGGATTTTTATTTCAACGGTGAAAAGAAACTGCAGTTGGTAGTGTGATGAGTAAATGAGTTTATGTATTTCTCGATAATTCTAGTGAAGCTGTTATTGTTCTGAAATTGATTTTGTTTGTGTAAATATAATTATTTAAGTCTTTTTTCTTCTTGGACTGAATTCTGCTGTGATTTACATTGCATAAACTTCTATTGTAGCAACTCTGAAGAGAATGTCCCTTTTTGTCTGATACATACTGCAGTACTTTTGTACAGATTTGTGCAGAGCGTTGGTTTTGAGGATAAACTTTGACAGGGTTGTGGTGTATCAATAGCATTACAGAGTTGTGTACATCATCTGAATATTTATTGGATTGATCAGATCTGACACAATACAAATGAAATAGAACATTTCAGTTGAGAACAAAATTGTCCCCTTTACATTAATTTCTATGGTCGCTTTCTTGTAAGCTTTTGAAATGGTTGGACAAGCTAAACTTGCAAGAGGTACAGATCAGGATCAAGGCTGGACTGTATAATAGTAACCATGTGCAGATAGAGGGGTCTAGCCGTACTTATGGCTTAATATCATTAGTTTTCAGAATATTCTTTACGGGTTAAAATGAAACATATTTTATTATTGGATCATTGTATTGTGTCTGGCAGGAAATTAGGAAATTGTGCATTATGATCTTTAAATACCATTTCCAATATGTACAGGTGCATTTGTTTATGATGAAATAATTCCATCCCACCTGAACCGTTTCAATGGGGTTACACGAAAGCGGCCTATATGGACATTTTTCTTGAAGAGGTCAGCATCTTTCAAAAAAAATAGATCACCATGTAATTAGACAGATAACATTTATTCAGAACTGAACATTTGAGTTCCAAGTTTTTAAGCAGCAGTCATGTATTAGATTTGAAGTGAATAGAAAATCTGATTTTGCTTAATGTATCACTGGATTAAAACTTAGAGACAATGAATGAAATTATATGTACGTAAAATTTCACAAGATCAATTTTGACAGTTATAAAATTGTGAACTCTAAAAAGGTATTTGTTGTTTTTTATGAAGACTGTATTTAGCCCGCCCTCATAAAGCTGTTAAAACAGCCTTTGTTCATTGCCAGTCCTTAAGCAACTGTTTAAATTGTACATCTGAAAAAGAAATGGAGGACATTTTCAAATTTCACGCAAAGAAGAAAGACCATGAAAATCCTATTCGTGTCAGTGCCTTTTCAGGAATCAAACCTTTTGAGAAGATTTTCAACACTGAAGAAGCATGCTGTGTCAGCTGATTGACCATCATTAAGATCAAGAACTTTGCCTGCTCACTCTTTTTACACAAATATCTGCAAGTCTAAGGCTGCATACTTTATTTCAAAACTGACATAATTAAAGAAACAGCTGCCAGTGCCATTTTGGAGTTTTAGATCATTTGGTTGCAATCCATTCAAGCATTAAAAAGGAATACCGTTTTGAAGCCCCCAGGTCCCTAGGGATAGACTCAACTTTATGAAGATCAGAAATGCATTCAAGCATTAAGAAAGAAAGATCTGGATTTAAGAAATGATTACCAGCACCTAATGATGCACGATAGCAATAGGTCATTTGGGTAAGATGACATCAAAAGTTTTTTTTTTTTTAAATTTTAACCATACTCCCTCCCCAGGGAAAGCATCATAAGGCTCTAACATCAATAGAAAGTATTTGATTCTGTGTTTGGCCATTGAGAAGATGTTTTTTTGTATACATTTTGGCCTAGCAAATTAAGCACTATGGGTCAGCCCAATACACTTGCGACATAATACTGCCAGCATACTGCTAATAATTCAAATCTACTTTAAATTATTTCCAATTGAAATCAAACTATTCATGAAATTCGTCTTTCCCTCCCCCACACATTCATATGTGTTGGTCCTGTCACTCCGTCACACATACATATGAGTTTGTCCTGTCACTCCCCCACACATTCATATGGGTTGGTCCTGTCACTCCGCCACACATACATATGAGTTTGTCCTATCCCTTCCCCAAAACAATCATTTGAGGTTGTCCAGTTACTCCCCAACACATTCATATGAGTTGATCCTGTCACTTGAGTTTCCCCTGTCACTCCCCTACACATTTATATGAGTTTGTCCTGTCACTCCCCCACACAATCATGTGTGTTTGTCCTGTCACTCCCAAACACATTCATCTGTGTATGTCATGTCACTCCCCTCATACATGAGTTTGCCCTGTCACTCCCCACATATTCTGATGAGTTTGTCCTGTCAACCCCTAACATTCAAATGAGTTTGTCCTGTCCCTTCCCGAACACATTCATATGAGTTTACCCTGTTACTCCCTCTAACATTCATATGAGTTTTCCCTGTCCCTTCCCCAACACACTCATATGAGTTTGTCCTGTCACTCCCCCACATATTCATATGAGTTGGTCCTGTTACTTAAGTTTGTCCTGCCACTCCCCCACACATTCATATGACTTGGTCCTGTCACTTCAAATTGCCCTGTCACTCCCCCAACATTCATATGAGTTTGAACTGTAAATCCTTCACACATTCATATTAGTTTCTCCTGTCAACCCCTGACATTCATATGAGTTTGTCCTGTCACTCCCCAGCACATTCATACGAGTTGGTCCTGTCACTTGAGTTTTTCCTGTCCCTTCCCCAACACACTCATATGACTTGGTCCTGTCACTTGAAATTGCAATGTCACTGCCTCACAAATTCATATGAGTTTTTCCTGTCCCTTCCCGAACACAATCATATGAGTTTGAACTGTCACTACCTCACACATTCATATGTGTTTGTCCTGTCACTCCCCCACATTAATATGAGTTTGCCCTGTCACTACCGCACACATTCATGTGATTTTGTTTTGTCCCTTCCCCAAAACAATCATATGAGTTTGTCTTGTTACTCCCAAACACATTCATATGAGTTGATCCTGTTACTTGAGTTTTCACTGTCACTCCCCCACACATTAATCTGTGTATGTCCTGTCACTCCCCTTCATATTCATATGAGTTTGCCCTGTCACTCCCCACATATTCTGATGAGTTTGTCCTGTCAATCCCCCACACATTCCTATGAGTTTGTTCTGTCACTCCCCCACAAATTGGTATGAGTTTGTCCTGTCACTCCCCCATATTCATATGATTTTTTCCTGTCATTCCTTCACCCTTTCACATGATTTTATCCTGTCATTCCCCTCACTTTCATATGAGTTTGTCCTGTCCCTTCCCCAACACAATCATATGAGTTTGTCCTATCATTCCCCTTCTATTTCATATGATTTTGTTCTGTCATTCCCTCACAGATTCATATGAGTTTGAACTGTCACTGCCTCACACATTCATATGAGTTTGTCCTGTCATTCCCTCACACATTCATATGAGTTTGAACTGTCACTCCCTCACACATTCATATGAGTTTGTCCCGTCAACCCCTAACATTCATATGAGTTTGTCCTGTCACTCCCAAACACATTCATACGAGTTGGTCCTTTCACTCCCCTACATTCATATGAGTTTTTCCTGTCCCTTCCCCAACACGCTCATATGAGTTTGTCTTGTTACTCCCAAACACATTCATATCAGGTGATCCTGTCACTTGAGTTTGCCCTGTCACTCCCCGACACATTCATATGAGTTTTCACTGTCACACCCCCACACAATCATGTGAGTTTGTCCTGTCTCTTCCCCAACACAATCATATGAGTTTGTCCTGTCTCTCCCAAACACATTCATACGAGTTGGTCCTGTCACTTGAAATTGCAATGTCACTGCCTCACAAATTCATGAGTTTTTCCTGTCCCTTCCCCAACACAATCATATGAGTTTGTCCTATCATTCCCCCACACATTCATATGAGTTTGAACTGTCACTACCTCACACATTCATATGTGTTTGTCCTGTCACTCCCCCACATTCATATGAGTTTGTCTTGTCCCTTCCCCAAAACAATCATATGAGTTTGTCTTGTTACTCCCAAACACATTCATATGAGTTGATCCTGTTACTTGAGTTTGCCCTGTCACTCCCCCACACATTCATATGAGTTTTCACTGTCACTCCCTCACACAATCATATGAGTTTGTCCTGTCTCTTCCCCAACACAATCATATGAGTTTGTCCTGTCACTCCCCCATATTCATATGAGTTTGCCCTGTCACTACCCCACACATTCATATGAGTTAGTCCTGTCACTCCCCCAACATTCATATGATTTTTTACTGTCACTCCTTCACCCTTTCACATGATTTTATCCTGTCACTCCCCCCACATTCATATGAGTTTGTCCTGTCAATCCCTCACACATTCATTTAAAATTGTCCTGTCATTCCCCTCACATTCATATGAGTTTGTCCTGTCCCTTCCCCAACACAATCATATGAGTTTGTCCTATCATTCCCCCCACACATTCATATGAGTTTGAACTGTCACTTCCTCACACATTCATATAAGTTTGCCCTGTCAACCCTTTAACATTCATATGAGTTTGTCCTGTCACTCCCCCATATTCATATGAGTTTGTCCTGTCACTCCCCCAACATTCATATGATTTTGTACTGTCACTCCTTCACCCTTTCATATGATTTTATCCTGTCACTCACCCCGCATTCAAATGAGTTTGTCCTGTCACTCCCTCACACATTCATATGAGTTTGTCCTGTCAACCCCTAACATTCATATGAGTTTGTCCTGTCAATCCCCAACACATTCATACGAGATGGTCCTGTCACTCCCCTACATTCATATGAGTTTTTCCTGTCCCTTCTCCAACACACTCATATGAGTTTGTCTTGTTACTCCCAAACACATTCATATGAGTTGATCCTGTCACTTGAATTTGCTCTGTCACTCCCCCACACATTCATATGAATTTTCACTGTCACTCACCCACACATAAATCTGTGTATGTCCTGTCACTCCCCCTCATATTCATATGAGTTTGCCCCGTCACTACCCACATATTTTGATGAGTTTGTCCTGTCAATCCCCCACACATTCCTATGAGTTTGTTCTGTCACTCCCCCACAAATTGGTATGAATTTGTTCTGTCACTCCCCCACATTAATATGAGTTTGCCCTGTCACTACCCCACACATTCATATGATTTTGTACTGTCACTCCTTCACCCTTTCATATGATTTTATCCTGTCACTCCCCCACATTCATAAGAGTTTTTCCTGTGAATGCCTCACACATTCATTTAAGTTTGAACTGTCACTCCCTCACAGATTCATATGAGTTTGTCCTGTCCCTTCCCCATATTCATATGAGTTTGCCCTGCCACTACCCCACACATTCATATGAGTTTGTCCTGTCACTCCCCAGCACATTCATATGAGTTTGTCCTGTCACTCCCCAGCACATTCATATGAGTTTGTCCTGTCACTCCCCAGCACATTCATATGAGTTTGAACTGTCACTCCCCCATATCCATATGAGTTTGTCCTGTCACTCCCCCAACATTCATATGATTTTGTACAATCACTCCTTCACCCTTTGATATGATTTTATGCTATCATTCCCCCACACATTCATTTAAGTTTGTCCTGTCATTCCTCTCACATTCATATGAGTATGTCCTGTCCCTTCCCCAGCACAATTATATGAGTTGTTCGTGTCATTCCCTCACACATTCATATAAGTTTGAACTGTCACTCCCTCATACAATCTTATGAGTTTGTCCGGTCTCTTCCACAACACAATCATATTAGTTTGTCCAGTCACTCCCTCACACATTAATCTGTGTATGTCCTGTCACTCCCTTTCATATTCATATGAGTTTGCCCTGTCACTCCCCACATATTCTGATGAGTTTGTCCTGTCAATCCCCCACACATTCCTATGAGTTTGTTCTGTCACTCCCCCAAAAATTGGTATGAATTTGCCCTGTCACTCCCCACATATTCTGATGAGTTTGCCCAGTCACTACCCACCACATTCATATGAGTTTGTCCTGTCACTCCCCCATATTCATATGAGTTTGCCCTGTAACTACCCCACACATTCATATGAGTTTTTCCTGTCACTCCC